CTATTTTACTCACTTCCTTCCCAACTGACTATTGAAATTCTTTCTGAATCTTAGGCTGGTGACATGGTTCAGCCAGGTAAAGGTGCCTGCTGTCAAGCCTGATGACCTGAGTTTGATCCCTAGGACTCACAGGGTGAGGGTGACAGCAGATTCCCACATGGAAGTGTGGACGTGCGTGCACGCGCGGGCGCACACACACACACACACCAAATAAAGAAATGAATAGATGAATTAAGTTAATTTTTTTAAGTGAATAACCAATCAGTGGGGACTTCTAGGTCCCCTAAGTGCTTTAGAATTGAGTATAAGCTCTAACCTATTTCCCTAGTGAGCAAATCACTCAGTGGTTTGTATAGATCATAGAAGCCATGCTTCACCCCAGTTAAGAGCTCCTGATTTTCAGACTATTTTGATACAGACTGATTTTCAGAGCTATTTTGGCAGAATGCAGGATTAACGACTGTATCATTCAGATGATAATAACCGGGATGTTTCTGATGTGACAAAAGACCATTTTTCTACTGAAGGGTTTTTCATTCAGGTGGCTAAAATCTATTGAGAAGGGATTAATTCCACTGTTTTCTGTGGTTGGAATGAGTGTGGTCTCCCCTGGTGCCTGCCTGCCCTGTACTTCAGCAATCCTCACTGCCTGGTGACTGGCAGATTCCTGCTGTTGCAGGCTTAAGGGGAAAGGGTGGAGGCAGAGGATAGCTTCTCAGGGGATACAGACAGGGAGTATACATTAGAATGGGCTGGATGGGGGGGAGGGATGGCACAAGCTTCACAGGGCTAGACACTGCATGACTCTTGAAATAAGTTAATATCAGACAATCCAGTAATATGGACCAGAGCAGTAGGAAGAAATTAGGCACCTGGGAGATGGTTCTCGGGGAAACTCTAAGCAGAAGCCAAAGATCTGTTGTCATGGCGACAACCACCCAGCATGGAGGTGTTAGAGGAGTGAGATTGGCAGGAGAGCGGGTCAGAACATAGACTGAAGTCTAATTCTGCAGCCAGAGTAGTACAGGGACAATGACAGGCGGAGGATATCACCCAGATCCCATGGCTTACCCATAGGTGCCCAGTCAGATTGGCTGGGACAGGAGTGTCCCGTGGAGAGCTGAAAAGTAGTAGATGGGCCCCGAGGGTAGGCATTGAGGCAGATGCTATGGATATGTTTCCTGCCTGTTTCCATAAACGGATAACAAAGCTGCGGGGGACCATCTAAGATGTCTGAGCAAGGATGATTAAAGACCCTTCGTATGACTTCAATTTTCAGGTTTTAAAGTTGAGGATTAAAATATACTTTTAAGGCTAAATATTCTTGACCATCCATCTCCTCTTTAGTTCTAGTTTTAAAAATTCAGAAGGATCCTGAGCACCAGCTGCAGACAGGCAGCGACTCAGTCATTGTCCACCTTCTCCGAGGACACGGGTTGGGTCACCCAGCATCTGAGAGTCGGTGGCAGTAGAGGGTGGTTTCTGGTGCCTTTCTTCAAAGAGGAATGGAAGCTCACATTTGCAGACTGTGCCTTCCATGTGTTGGGGGACAGGCTTTCTATTGTTATCTCATTTGATGCCTGTGATCACCTAGTATGTTTGGGGAACAGCTTGAGGTTTTGAGAGGATACATAATCTCCCAAGGTCATGCTACTTGCACAGCATTCTAGTCTGGAACAAGTTCAGAGTCTCTTTAGAGCCACGTGGACGTCTGTCTCACAGCTCAGTTTTGGAAGGTGCTGATTTGCAGAAGTGCCTGTAAGATGGGGAAGCCCTCAGTCGGTCCTGGTGGGGGTGGGGTGCTTCCCGAAGGCTCCTCTGTACAGAGGGACCTCTGTACCACTTTTATAGTCATTGCCTGCCAGCTCTTTATGTTGTTCTCACTTACTGAAAGTAGGAGGGAAGAAAAAGGCAATGTGTACAGCAGAGAAAACCCAGAAGTAGAGAAACCAACTTTGCTCTGTGATGTCTGCATGGTTACTGTGGAATGGGAGGCAGCCTGGCAAAGTAGGTGCTGAACCACCCTGGATGGTGACTCCCAGGGTTTTACAGGGGATGTATAGGAGCCCCCCTGAAATGTTATATCAAGCATCATGAATCTGCCTCTTGCCCTGGGAAGATGGCTCATGGCTTTCTACTAAAAGATTCCCATGCCTGCCAGATAGTCTGAGACCAACTGTGTCTCCTCCTTCTGAAACAGGATCTGGGATGCACAAGATTGATGACCTTGAACTCTGATCCTCTTAGGTGTTGGGAGTACAGGAGAATACCACCACATCTAGTGTATGCAGTGCTGGGGTATGGAAGCCAGGTCTTCATTTGTGCTTGGCAAGTACTTTGCCAACTGAGTTGCAGCCTCAGCCTGTGTGCACATTCTTTTAATTTTTACCGTAATGCCATAATATAGAAATAGAAGCGCATGTGAAATACAACATTTCTGAGGAGATACCAAGAGATGATAGGTGTTTGTGATAGGGTGATATATAGGGTGGAATTGTAAAACAAACAGTAAGAAAGAAAGATCAAGGCTGCCTATTGCTTTATGTTATCCAGCTATGCAATTTTAATAGCTGTTTGGAGAATCATAAAGTTGTTGGGGGTAGGGACCTGATGTCCAATAGAAAGGAATCTATTTGTGAAGACTGTACTTAGTCTTTGTGTTGGGCAGATCAATACTGTTTCCTGAAAGAGACCATTTAGCAGCCATCTTCCCTCATCTCCCTTGAGAAAGCTGGGGAAACGGTCAACCTGAGATGCAGATGCCTGAGTGTCTGTCACACTGGAGAGCCTGCTTCTACAGTCTCTATATCCACCAGGGCACAGCAGGTGCTTGTGAATCCAGAGCAGCAAAGATCTCAACAGCATTGCCTGCCCTCTGCCCACCTAGTCTGGCTTACATTCCTGTTTGGAATAAGGACTGATTCATTTGCCCAGAGGGTAATGTGTTGAACTATCTTCACCAACCTTAGCTGTTCTGTCTAGCCTCTTCTCCAGCCTTATCCTTTCTCGGTGGTGTCTGAGGCCAGATCTGTTCTGTCAGGCCCTGTGGCTCTTTGTGTGGAGGTGTTTGTGAGAATCACGTCAGCTTCTTCTGCCCTCCAGATGCTCCTCAACTTAGGACAGGATGACATCCCAAGGAGCTGACCAGACCAGAAATTGAAATGATTCTAACATGAAGAGGAACTTAATAATATACCTGTCCTTCCAGGCATCCCAGCTTAGCCCAGCCCACCCTGGATATTCAGAGCAGTTAGCCTACAACATGGAGAAGTCCTTGACACAAAGACGATTTTATAAGAACATGTCCAATGTCTTACTCAATTAGCTGACTACTATTTTGAAAGTGAAATGCAGAGTGGATACTGCATATGCTCACTCTGGCACAGTTGGAAGCTGGAGCCCACTGTCTGTTCAGAATCAGGCAGGTGCAGACCAGACATCTTGGGAAACGGAGCTGCTACTGGCTCTGCTTCTCGACCGGCCGCCACTTCCCAGGCATGTGCCTCACAGATCTCCTCAGGGAGGTGAGGCTGTGCAGAGTGTCACGTTGCAAAGCCAAGTTACCTTTCTCTCTTTGCAGGGACACCAGAGGCAGAGAATTGGTTTCTTTGGTTTTATCCTATAGCTCATTAAAGATGCCTTTGTTCACCAAAATCCAGGTCACTAGGACTTGGTGGAAACCAAAAGACAAACCACAAGCTTGGATTGGTGGCATGTGTGTGAGGAGAGAGAGAGAGAGAGAGAGAGAGAGAGAGAGAGAGAGAGAGAGAGAGTATCTGTGTGTGTATCTGTGTATCTGTGTGTGTGTGTATCTGTATGTGTATCTGTGTGTGTGTGTGTGTGTATCTGTATGTGTGTCTGTAGTCTCTGTGTGTACGTGTATCTGTGTGTGTGTGTATATGTGTGTGTGTGTGTCTATGTGTGTGTGTGTCTGTGGTCTCTGTGTGTCTCTGTGTGTGTATGTGTGTACATGTATCTGTGTGTGTGTGTGTGTCTATGTGTGTGTGTCTGTGGTCTCTGTATGTCTCTCTGTGTGTATGTGTATACGTGTATCTGTGTGTGTCTGTGTCTGTGTCTGTGTGTTTGAAAGAGAGGCACACAGAGAGAGGAATCTTACCATCCCCATGAGAAGCTCAGCTATTTTGATCACAGTGACTGATGTTCATCCCAATTGATACTCTGGGCAGGGATTAGCTGGACCTTGCAGCCCTGGACAGTGTCTTCCAGTTCACTGATTGCCAGCAGTGAACCACAGAACTGCTTGACAGAGATGCAGAGTGTGAACTTGATGTTGAGGCAGTGAAGGGTTGGAGGTTACAGGTAGTATTTCCCCTGATGTCTTGAACAGTAAAAGATAGCTGCTTCCTGTTCCTTCCACCATGCCCCACCAGAGAGAGTATCAGTCATACTGGGGGCCCTGCTTCTACTTGGGGTGGCTCTGATACTTTGGGAAAGGAACCAATGGCTGCTGCCAACAGGAAGCATGTGTCTGTTGAACATGGCTGGCAGGAGGCTCCAGTTACCATGGTTACTGTGTAGTGTGAGTTAGGTAGTAGGGCTACTTAAGGGAAGCCTAGCATTGAGGACAGCAATTTGGTGTGTTTGGTGGGGGGGGGGGAATGTCTCTTTGCCAGCCAAAGCCTTTATTTTGGATGGGGTTTGGACAGAGTTCATATTCAGGAATGGGGATTTCCTGCAAGAGTCTACATGACTACATGGCTTAGCCTCATCACCTGTCAGCTATTTCTCCAAGCCTCCTGGGTGGCCTGAAACCACCCTTCCTAGAATTGTGCCCACTGGCTCCTTCTAGGATTCTATTAGAGGCTCCCTTCCTGCTCACAGAAAGGCATGGCGTTTAGAAAACCCCGAGTCTGAATTGGTTTTAAATTTCATACCGAGGCATCCGTGAGAGCCATTTTCTAGGTGTCACCATTTTCCTGTGGCTATACAAGCGACGGCTATAATTATGAAGCTCTGTCAAGTCTTTTCTTTTGGCTTCCATGTGATCAGCTGATTACGTTCTGCAGTCCAGTTCTGCAAGCTGGAGTCTCTGTTCCTTTGTTCCCTGCAGAATGACAGTCCATTCTGGTCCTCTGTTTCTGTGCAACTAGAATAGAAGAATCGTTGTGAAGAGAATGGGGGAATTGATCTCTGTGAATAAGAGGCACTTAAAAGCATAACCAGGCACTGAAGGACACTTTGGAAATCTCACGCAATTAGTATCTTTAGTTGAGAGAATACATTATTTTAGTTTTTCCTTGGCCATTTTAGAAGAAAATAAAGATTTTATTTATTTATTTATTTATTTATTTATTTATTTATTTTTAGTGCTGCTTCAGAAATTATTATTTGAGTGTGGAATAAAAGCATAATGTGTTCAGGAAACAGTTACCTAGTAAGATCCACCTGTTCTTAAATACTGATAGAACAGTCTTTGGCCATTTTTGTAGGTATTTCTTAGATAGGGAAATCCTCAGGTGACAGGACAGTGACTCTGTAGTGACTTGACTGGCATTATTCTGTTTTTACTTGATTCTGAAGCACTGGATATATACCACTGGACATGTATGAAGCACATATGTAATTCTCTGTAATTTATATACACATTATTCACAGATTTGCTTTCAAGAATATATTTCTAGGTCTGGGAAGATGGTTCAGTGAAGTTGCTTACCATCCAAGTATCTGGGTTTGATCCCTAGAACCTACATAAAGCTGGGAGAGCAAACATCACGGAGTTGTCCTCTGAGCTGAGTGTACGCACTGTGACATTATGACATGCCCCACCCCCAACATCAGAGACACACAGTAGTATGTATTTTTGAAGAATACACTCTCTCTTGCTGGAATTCAGATGCTCTTTGCTGACCGATCTTACTGCATCTCTGGGCAGGAGTGAGGCTGCTCCTTTTCCTGGGCTCAGGAAGTCGTTCCAGCTGCTGGAGAGGTTTTTAGCCCTGAAGGAGCTTGTCATTTCCTGCCAAGGTAATCATGTCCGTGAACTGGGCCCCATCGGTGGTGGCTCTTGGCCTGGCTGATGAGTCATTGCAGCAAAGGTACCCTGGAGACTTACCCTTTGAACCCATCATTTGACAGAAATGATAGCAAATAGAAAATGCTTCCTTCTGGATGCAAGCTATGGACTCTAAAGGACAATATTGATCTACCGACTGGATGAATTCTGGGCTCAGCCATCTCAGGTGCCAGTTTGAGGCTCCCCTAACCATCTGATGGTTCAGGTAGACTTCACAGGACAGGCAGGAGCTTTCGGGACAGCCAAGCCTCTCTCCGATACAGCACATGCGAGGGAAGGAGGAAAGCTCGTGCAAGGAGAAGTAAAACCAGCTTCCCTGGCTCTTCCCAAGCCCAAGAGCCTTCCGATCCCTGAGCCCATGCTGGATGAGTCCTAGGCAGACCCCCTTCCTCTTCTTGAATGTGTGAGGCCTGTGGCTGTTCAAATATAGAAGCTTCTCACTGGGCACTGGACAAACAAGTCCCCATTTTTATAGGCAGTTCTGACCTAGACCAAAGGCCAAGGCCCTGGAGGATTTGCCACTAATCCCGCTGGATAGTTTTCATACCTCTCTCATGCCTCATCCGGTGTTGTTCCTTGCTGGAATGAATAGGTTCTGTTTCTCCCTTGTTACAAGTTTCCCTGGGTGAAGTTTTCGGAAAGTTCAGGATGCGTTCTGCTTTTGAAAGGGGCTGAAGCCACTGAGAGCTCATCTGTGGAATGGCAAGAGAGAAAGAGCTAAGTGGCCAAAGCCTGGGGTTGATTTTAAAAAATAAACAAACAAACAAAAATAACAGAAGAGTTGAGTGTCCACTGTTACTGCAAAGAATGAGAGAAATTACAGCTGTCCCCCTCAAGGTGTTCTGGGGTGCTTAGTAGGTAGGCCTCTTTCCCTAGAGTTTTCTAGAAATCCCTTCCTTGGTGGTGGTGAATTCAGGGCTTGTGTGCTGAAGGGAGGCTGGGCAGGGTGGGCAGTTAACTGGAGATGGGCAATTAAATGAAGGACTTAGAGGGCACAGGGGAGGAGGACACACAGCTGGGTCAGGAGGGAGCACTCAATCCCTATCCTCCCTCCGGCTGCACAGCCAGGTGGGGAGGACATCGGCCCTTCTGGGTGTTTGCCGACAGACTTGCTAATTAAACACCAAAAGGCAGTAGTGCTTTGCTAATAATGAGGACCGTGCCAGTGTTATCAGCTGCAAACTGACTGCCAGGAGCAGTAATTAAAAGTAAACAGCTCTGGAGGTGGGCACGGAGAGCCGGATCCTGCCTGATTGCTTAGAACTTCTAAGATGACTCTCAGGGAAAGCCACAGCCTGATCACTTGTGGGCCACCTTTCCTCAAAGGAACCACTGTCTCACACTAAGATGGTGTGATGTGTACAGCTCTCCCTGCTTCTAAAAAAGCCCTAAGTGCTGGGGTGAGAAGCAAAGAAAGCCACTGGGAGCAGATTGCCCATGATTGTGTTCCAGCCCTGAATAGGGAAGGCTGCCCAGAGTGGGGGTGGGGTTGGGTATAACGATTTCTGCCTGGCCTCTGAATTAGGGGACAGCTAAAAGCTAAAGCACAAGCCCTCTTCTAAGAGGGGTTAGAATTTCATCAAGTCTGGTCACATGAGAATTTCTGGCACCGGGTGCATGGCAGGCTGGACACAAGCCGGCCGGGATTGAGCGAGTGGATCGTATTGGCTTGAGCGGAGGGGAAAAGTCACAGACTGGCCTGGGAGAAGGAGACGACTCACTCTGTTGGTGGCTGGCTGTGGACAGGAGCAGCTGAGCGTGGGACTGGGGCTCCACCATCCAATGCCCCCTTCCTCTTAACGGAAGGTGTGTGGTGTGAAGGTGTGTGGCGTCTGGGACTGCAGACAAGATGCCTAAGGAATGCAGCGCCTTCCACGCCCTCTCTGCAGCCCTGTGCTGCTTCTATCAGCGCAAATCTTTCTTTGGTGTCAAGGTAGGTGTGGCTTGGACACCGGGTGTGCGTGTCTCTAAGTGTCTCTTTTGGGGCTCCCAAAGATACTGTGTTTCTAGGGGGCACTAGAGGAAGTTTGCATCTTGCAAATCCCATTTGGTCTGATGGCTCTTCCTGGTTGTTTCGCCACCAAGAAAGTAGAATCCAGCCAGCTGCAGAGGACTAGGACTCCTTTTCTGCGTATGGGACAAAACTCTGTTGTTTGTGACACTTTCAGGCCTCCAGGGATGATATTGTATGCCAAAGCTACCAAATATGACAAAGCTGTTTTTCCTTCTTTCTCTTTGCCTCTCTGTCTCTTCTCCCACGTTCAGAGTGAGTCTGAGGTGGCTGAGTCCCCTTGCTCTGTTTAACCTCAAAGTCCATTATATGCCAGCAATGTATATAATGGACAGAAACCACAAAATATCTTCTTTAGAATTGCAGCCAGCTTCCAAAACATTTCAGGGTTCAGACATGTGTTTCTCTTTACCACTTGCACTTTAACCTTTGGGACAAGACATCAGTGCCAATGGCTTTTGCATAACAATGTCAGTAGACTATGTGGGTGACTTGACTCCTTTAAACCAAGGTCTGCGTTCTATGCTGGCTCCCCATGATGTACTAAGAATTAATATGAACACAGGCTTTCACCAGTCTTGAGATTTGTCAGCCTTGGGAAGACCTCCACCAGTTCCAGGGTAACAGCAGACCTGAATTATTCCAGGGAAATTGAAGGCTGAAAGCGCTTCAGGAATCCCACTTTGAAGCTGAGATGCCTCTTCCCAAGGGACTGAGAAACCACAATGGGGCTATGACACTCTGCTTCCTTCTTGCTACACAAAAGTTAAACCTTGGGAAAGTGGTCTATATTATAAGGAGAAAGACCCACCTATAGAAACACACACAGTGGATGAGATGTGAGTAGGCGTCCTCTGGTTCTGCTGCCTGGTTTGAGTGTTTGGAGTTACCTCTCAGCTACCCTGCAACTGATTTCCATGACTCTCTGTGCAGAGCTTTTGAGGAGAGTACCGAGGTGTGGGTTAAACGTGGTCCTTCCTGACTTACTGCCGAGCCTTGTGTTATCCCAGAGCCCAGCAGGGTTTTCGACCTAAATATGGATTGTTCTAGAATGGGGTAGATGATGTCATGCCATTAACAGTATTTTTGAGTTGACAAAGATAGACTGGGGAGGTCCCAAAGGGCTTCATGTACTTCAGGGATTGGCAGTAAATTCTCCCTCGAATAGACATCCATCTGTGAGCCAATTGCTGTTAATTCGGGATGAACTTAGCATTTGGTATAAGGGGAATCAATTCATGAATGTCTGGGTCCCAATGTTTTGAGTAGGCGTCCTCTGGTTCTGCTGCCTGGTTTGAGTGTTCGGAGTAACCTCTCAGCTACCCTGCAACTGATTTCCATGCCTCTCTGTCCAGAGCTTTTGAGGAGAGCACCGAGGTGTGGGTTAATCGTGGTGTTTGGATGTCCCCAAAATGTGCAGAGAAGGGACCACATAGTAGGCTTACTTGGACCATCAAGTGCCCTTCAGTCACTCCTTTCTTGACTACCCCACCATAATCAAGCCTGGTGGATGCCTCTTAGTAGAAATGACTTCCTTTCTGTCCAGGTTTCCCATCCCACCCAGCTATGTTGAAGCTTTTATAACAGGAAGAAAGGCTCTGACCTGTTCACACACTTTTCAGTCCCCCACTATGACTCCCAGATGGATCCTCTAGATGAGTTTTCCTGTTTTGCTTTGCTTAGCTGGTTACCTGGGAAGAAAATCTGCCTGTACATCCTTCTTCATGGTGCCAGTGTTACCCCAACGATAACACAGACTCATTTTATTGACCCTCACTTTAATTAGGGGGTTCAGGTCATGCTGCTCATAATTAGTTTCCGTTGCAAATAGAATTTCAAAATTAAATTGGGATTGATTGCCTGATAACAAAGCGGAAATGCTGTTCCAGTTTGACCATGTATGCTGTTTCCCTTGGTGTGAATTTTTCATACCCAAAATAACACTGCAGTAGCCATGGTAACTTTCCATTTGGTCTAATCCATATCATCTCAGGAGAAAGCAGAGTGTTATTAATAGTGTTGGTTGTATGGGAAGAAAACTAAAAATATGAAGGTTCCTTGGTTGCATAGGAGACCAACCACACAGTTGCACTCTGGGAATATCTTACTTGCAGAGGTCTCACTGAGTTTAGCGTGTAGTTAGGAGCCTCATGGATTTGTATACAAAGACCCTGGGGAGGAATGATACGGGAGGTCAAAGCAGGGAGAGTGATCAGCATTGAACATACGTTGCTGGTCCCCATCAAGAAATGTCCTAGCCATGTTGAGATCACAATGTTAGCATCCCAAAGCAGCTCATAGTAGATGCCAGTTCCAGAAAAGACCAGGGACTCTTCAGTCTGCATTTTAAAAAAGCCTTTTGCTTAAGCCCATCCAGTGGAGGGAAGCTGGTACCAAAGAGATTCCAGATACATGATATCAAAAAGGCACACTCCAAATTCCGAAGACCTTGAATTTTGGAGCCCCACCCACGCCCATGCAGGGACTTCTTTTAGGTGGGTGGCCTGGGACTATGTGTAACGTAATAAATAATTGAGGTGAAATTCTCAACTTCAAAGGACTTGCCACAAGAATGCTAGACTATAGTGTCATTTGGTTACTTTTGCAAAAGGCTTTCCAATGTCTTAATGATTCATCGGTTGTTTCCATTTGGACTAATCCATATCATCTCAGGAGAAATCAGGGTGTTATTAATAGTGTTGGTTGTATGGGAAGAAAACTAAAAACATGAAGGTTCCTTGGTTGCATAGGAGACCAACCACACAGTTGCACTCTGGGAATATCTTACTTGCAGAGGTCTCACTGAATTTAGCGTGTAGTTAGGAGCCTCGTGGATTTGTATACAAAGACCCTCAGAATAAGTTCTGTAAACCGGGCAGGGTGATAGTTTATGTTTTTCATAGAGAAGAGGCTGAGCCTCAGAATCAGCCTGTCTACTACAATCAATCTGTTGGGCACCAGGAAGGGAAGCCAGATGTTCTAGGCTTGCACCTAATATTCTTTCTACAAAGCCATATTAGGAGACTTGGAGTCTGAACTAAGATACTTTCGTGTATATTAATACTCCATTTTACATTGCACTTGGGAAGGATATTTCAGGGCGGGGGCTATTGGGTGCATGGTATGTGTGTGTTCTTAGAGAAGATAATTCTTTTTAAAAAATTATTTTTAGTAACTCAGGATTTAGGTGGATGAAGAAGAGGATGGATTGGGGGGATAGGGAAGGCATTCCAGTCGGGGAGAGTATTCCTTCCTAGCTCAAGATATAAAGGGTGTTAGCAGAAGCTAGGCCTAGTCAGAGCAAAAAGTTCACAGACAGGCTCAGTTCATGGCATGGCAAAAACAGCCATGAGCATGAGGAAGATCCCCTCCCTCCAGCCCTGCCCTGCCCTGCCCTGCCAGGAGTTAGGGCAAGCACATCTCCACACTGGCTTTTATCTTGCTTACGTCCTTGGTTCGGCTAAACAGTAATTGATCATGGTACCTTTGTGTGTCTTGCCTTTGCCAGCTGCTTTGGCCCTGGTAGTTAGGACCCAGTCCATACTCTGAGGAAGGTTTTAGTTCATTTGGAGAGATCTGCTATAGTGCTGGACAGGTGTATATTGACAGGCTGAAAAAAAGCCTCATTTACCAGTGAATCAATAGAAGGTACCTTGGCTTCTGAGAGGAGCATGCCTGGTATAGTCTGAGTAGTGGAGGACCTCCTGGGGAGGCAGGCCTAGCTTAGAAGAGTTAGTAGCGGGTATCCTGAGAGGAAATGACATTCTGGGTAGAGGAAGGAATATCCACAAAACCCTAGACATGATAGCTAGTTGTGGGGAGGGAGACAGCAGGGGACCAGACAGTAGCAGATAGCACACTATGTCCCTTAGGGAGCTGCAGAAGGACTTTGGTTACGAAAGGATGAACGACCTGATTGTTAAGAAAGGATAAATGACCTGATTTTGGAGGCTGGCAGTGTGGGATCCCATTACTTCTGGCCCTTCTGTCTCTGATGATTGATATTTGTGTGTGTGTGTGTGTGTGTGTGTGTGTGTGTGTGTGTGTGTGTGAGGGGGTGGGGTGGGGGAGAAAAGGGGAAGAAGGAGAGCTGAAATTCATCATCCTACCAGCATCTGGTCCTAAGGAAGGGCAGTGTGATGGTATTGGAGAAATCTAAGAGAGAAAAACTTCCATCCATGTATTGAAATGCTGCCTGCCCAAAACAGCATAAACAAAAAGGTGGGATACAGAGAGTATGTGGCTAAATGGACTGGAAAGGCTTGATTAAGAACAGGCCATTAAGTCCAGCCCAGTGGTCTTGTCATGAGCTGTAGTTAGGAAGAATCACAAGTACAGATTCTTCCACGCTAGGATTGAGCTGTTTCTACAATCATTAAGGACTGCCATATAGTGAAAAGATCTTGACTTGTGTTAGGGTGTTTCATTTGGATTGACATACTCCTGTCTCCGGCTCTCCCCCTGGGGGCGGGGTTGGGGGGAGGGGGAGAAGATTTAGAGCCTATTGAATCCACAATGTGTCAGGTCTTTGGCACTTGGTTTCATTTGAAAGTGCCTTTCTTCTGTGAAGAGTGTGGTGGAGGGAAGGTCCCACCCATGTTCCCTTTCCCTGATCCTTTGGCCTGTGTTATAAGTGACATATCCTGGCAATGGCAGTGGCCCAGCTGCCTTTGTTTGGGTGCAGATACACTGTCAGCAAAAGGTGGGAAAAGCCATATAGAAGAATCTTTCCGAGAGACTCACCCCCTCCTCCTGGTGGGGCTAGTTGCTCACGCATGCCTCCGGGCCCTAAAACTGAAAAGCCCAGCATAGCTTCTTTGTAAAAGGAGCCCTTTAAGAGCATTCCTTTGGCATGTGAGAACTGTGGGGATCTGGCTTCAATATCAAGACTTGGCTTGACAGA